CCAGCTCCTTATGTGTAAAGCTTACTAACTCAATATTCTTCAAATAAGTTCTCTATCTCCTCCCCACTACCCCCCAAATCCCACAATCCTCTGGTGTTTCACCTGCAGGTATGACAGAATAGAACCCAATAGCCTCTCCAGTTTTCCACAAGATCTTAGCATAATGACTGCTGCTATGACAGAGAAATGGGATATCATCTTCTTCCATTTCTTGTGTTCGATAGATAAATCGATTCATAACATAGAGAACAATCCTCTCTCCAACAGTTTTCACCTAAGGGAACACAGAAAAACATTTTAGAAGACTGGTCAGATGAGTTAATACTCACACATCAGGGACCTTATTTTTCAAATTGTTCCAGTTAACACAGCTGCAGATGGAGTCAAGGGAAGCTGTAAGTGCTGAAGTAGTGAAAACACACTGGGATTTGTTTGAGGGCAAGGAGATGGTCAGAAACCATAGTAATAGGTGAAGTATAAATCACTACCATAGGAGATATTTCATGACTTCAATGTCACTCTAATCCAACGTGTAAAAGCTAAGAGATTTAAGAAAATTCAAGATTTAAGAAACATTCACTGAATACAATAGCACTACACCAGCCTGAGACTTCCCAGGCTAGCAGGTAATTGAAGTCTTGCAAAGGAGAAATGATCAGCCTCACAGAGTAGCAGGACTTGGCACACTCCATCACTGCTGATAGAGTGGCAGGCAACAGGACATGATGCAGTGAAAAAAAATAGTTAAAACAGTTTCTGTGGCATGAAACAAAGAATTCAATATCCTTTTCTCTGTCCTGCAGGGTTTCTTTTACTTACAAAATTTAAGTTTACCACTATCCTACTAATTGTGAAGGAAGGAGGAACAATGCTCTCTTCCCAATGGCCCAGTCACAGCTACCCCACCTGTAAAAGATTCAGCTTTCCTGATTTAATCACCATCTTGCCATTACAAAACCCATGGAAAGCAAGGCTACATACCAAACTCTCTGGAGAAAAATCAAAAATTGCAAAAACCAAAGATGAGTGTCCAGATTTCATGAGTAGATATAAATTAGACTCACAGAAAAATACAGATTTCCAGTTTTGGGAAAAAAAACCCCTCCATGCTACACAGGTGTCAATAATAGTAACAAAGGTCAATGATGAGCAATAAAGCAGATACCAGAAAACTTACTACTCCAGATCTCATGTATTACCTCTGTAAGCCACCAGCTCCAACTTGCCTCTGTCAAACAGGCTCCTGACAATATTTTTGGCTTACTAGTTCCCTGATAAGACCAGTAAGCACTGCTATGGTACAATGCACCACTCTACTAAGATGTTTCAACATAACCAGATAACACTGTGCTAAAGAGTTAAGATAAAAACTCTTAACATTGTTAACACCTAAACAGTCTACATAGGAACTCTTGTACAAGAGTGCCTCTTGCTCTAGATGCTCTCTTCACAATCAGGTTCCTTTCCCCCAGTGCCTATTCCTCTATTTACTTTGACTTGGGAAGCCATCTCATTTCTAAATGAAATGAAAATGTGTTGTATCTCACACCCTATCGATGTGCCATTATCCTGAAGTATAAGATTAATTGCTAGGTGAATGTTGGAGCGCTTTACCTGGTGAAGCCCCTGTCTAGCAGGGACAGATGTTCTCACAATGTCATCAATTGACCACCACTGGTCAGCAAGATACAGGGCTACAGCTTGAAAGAAACAAGGGAAATAAAAAGTTAGTGATTCTTACCATTCCAAAAGAAACATTCATTAAAGCTGCTAAATAATCAGGAATAACACCAGTAACCAAGCTAAGCATCTTCTAGATGGCACTGTATTAATGTAGGTCTTACTAACCTAGCACAACAAATGCAGTGCTATACACCCCACCCATATGAAACACTCCCTAGTCCAAAACTGATGACGGAGAATAATAAATCAAAATGCATATTTTGTGCAGTATGATATACAGGAATTATTTTTAATCCATAAGCACTATCCTAGCACGCTCTAGCCCCTCCTTCCACTAAAAACTGGGCCTGCCAAGGAGTGACTCATTCATACATGTATTTTAGTTTTGGGCTGCTAGTGGATATTGATTTGAAACTGTGCAAGTTTCAGGGAGTCAGATGAACATAAAAAGGCTGATGGCCATGTGAGTAGCAATCAGGAAGAGGTTGATCTATGGGCACTTGTGACAAAATCGGGAGGGGAGAGGGAGGGGAGAGGGAG